TCGAGCCAGCCTGCGAATCAATCGTTGCACTGCATTGTGGTCGCGTGCCGACCGCGCTTCATTCATTCCACGTACGATCTCGTCCGCCCTCTCCTTTGCGACCTGCTTGGAAGTGCAGCGGATGCGGAAAGTCACCCTGGCCAGCTCGAGTTCAATCTCCCGCCGCGTATCCGTGTGTCTCCCCGTGTGCGTGCCTTCCAGTAGCTTGCGCCGCTCCAGTAGGTGAGACCTTTGCTTTTCCATGTCCGATTCCAAGCTTTCAGTCGGCGGCGGCTTGCCGAAGACCTCCCGAGCTTTGTTCACCAAAAGAGTCGCCGTCGAGTTCCAAAGCTCGTCCGTCGCCAGGCGGGTACAGAGTCATAACCCATTCAGGCTCGTCTATGGTCATTAGCTCCGTATGTATCTGCTCACTTCAGCTTGTGCACCCGTCTCCCCTGCGAACCGCCGCCATGATCCGATCGAAATCCCAACCAGGCTGACTTCCCATCTGAGCTTGGAAGCCATAAGAAAACTCCACGAAGACGGGCCTGTGGTCGCGGTCGTCGAGGGTCTGGATGGGTTGGAGCCGTCGGCCTGCAGACTCCAGCACCCTGCAGTTCGTCATGTGCGCCATCAGGCCCTGGGGGATGTGGATAAAGTCGATGCGCGAGCTCTTCCCCATGTTGCCGTAGTACGTGGGGCCCGCATCCGTGAACGTGTTGCAGGCTGTCGCAGTCCTGCAGCATTTGGTGCCATAACCTGCCCGCGAGGCCTTCTGCCGAGGGAGAATATGTGCCCACCGCTCGGTCCTCTTCGTCATCCTCCCAGTAGTGCAGCGCTGCCTCGTCCAGCGACGTCTCGGGCGAGGTCCCCAAGCTCTCGTTCGGGTCACATCCGATCACTGGGGTACAGCGGGCGCCGACCGACTCGATCGTGGCTCTCGTCCAGGCGATGAGGGCCTGGACCGTCTTCCAATATGTAGCTGCGTCTCCTCGCCCCTGAGGTTGGCAGGGGAACTAGAGGGCAACGAACAGTACGTCGAGCGTGGCCGTCTTCAGGCGCACAGCGCCCGCACGGCCGGCCAGAGCAGGACGGGGTGCGTACAGTCGACGGAGGGCGCGCGGAGGGAACACCTGCTTGCGCATCATGATCGAAACCCCGCACGAATTGTTGCTAGCCCGTGTCCATCCGAAAGAGATCTCCCAATGCTTTTCGTGCTTGAAGATCTGGTGGTCATCCTCTCCCTTCCGCCTGCAAGTACCTGGCAAGAGGAGAACTTCGATGTTGTGAAACTCCTGAGATATGTCTGTGCATCTCATCGGTCCGACGAGGTGCATCGGGTTGTATGTGCATGCCCTTATCCTTGTGTGTCCACTCGGTTGGGGGCGTTGGCCTGGCGAATTCGTCATTTCCCGAACGCCAATGAGGAACACCAGCTGCAGGCGCCCGTGGCGAGAAGCCGACGCCTGCAGGGCCATCCGCCACCCTCAATCAAGGGCTCGGCAGACCCCGCGCGCGAAGAGACATGCCACTGTCGCGGAATATCTTTCCTCTGAAGTAGGAGGAGCCGCGAAGGAGGGTGGTTCGGGCCGCTGTGGCGGCTGAGGAGGAGGAGGAGGAGGAGGAGGAGGAGATCTCGGGACCGTCTCGAAACCCTCCTGGGCGGTTTGGGCCTCCTCTGGAGGCCGCCGTCGGCCATCTTGGAGCCTTCGCGTGGCAACACTGGGTCATCTTGGGGAAAAACCGGCCCTTCCTTGGTGACTAATTTGAGCATCGTTTAACCCATCCCCATCCCCAGCGGCGTGGCCTGGGATATAGGCCGTTCCCTTCGAGTTTAGAGGAGTGTATCCCCAACTGGGGTGGTAATTTGATGAGGGTCTCGAAGGGGATGGGCATGGGTATGGGGGTCGGTTAAACGATACTGATGATTGATGCTCCGAGGCCACCCTGGAGCAAATTCCGTCCACAAATGAGAACTCCAGAACACGAATTCAAAAAAGATGTTACGACTTACGTCAGTGCTCGAGTGATCCGGCCCTGTAGAGGTCCTCTTTGGACACTCCGGCGGCCTCTTGGGAACGTCTTGGAGCCCCTTTGTAGCGCTGCGAAACTCCTCGGGAAACCTAGTTGCCTCTTGGGACCGTCTGGGGGCCCTCTTGGGCCGCCTGGGGCTTCTTTGGAGACCGTCGTCGGGACAGTCTTGGGGCAGTCTTGGGACATCCTTGGGGCAACAGTGAGACTCTCTTGAGAATCCGAGGCCATCTCTCTTTGTTGGCGGTTCAATTAGCTTGCCAGATACGCGCCAATCGCCCATCAACGCGCCAAACGCGTGCTGATCAGGCAAACAAAATAAAAGCCACAGGTGGGCGCAGCTGGCCAGCCGGAGAGGCAGCGCTGGAGCCTTGGTCCGTGCACACGCCCAAGCCACGCTCGTACCAAGCCCTCACAATCGTCCTCCGTTCCGTCCTCTTCAACATTCTACCCATCCTCCTACTCCTCGACGGAAACACTCCGCCTGGCCGACTGAAGCACTAGACTTGTGGTGCCAAGACCACGATTGGCTGCCCAGAGCCCCATCCCTCGTCCTCATCGTCCTTCTAGTCCTCATCGTCCTCGTCCTTGTCCTGCTTCTCCCCCTCCTCCTTCGCCTCCTCCTCCTCCTCCGTCGTCCTGTCATCATCCCCCTCCCTCATTTCATCCGCCTCCCCTCGCCCTCACCCTCGTCATCCACCTCATCATTGCCGTCCTCCTTCGTCTCCTCCGCCTCCTCCTCCTCCTTCGCCTCCTCCTCCTCCGCCTCCTCCTCCTGCTCGCCCTCCTCCTCCCTTTCCTGCTCCTCCTGCTTCTTCTCCTCCTCCTCCTCCTCCTCCTCTTCCTCCTCCTCCTCATCCTCCTCCTCCTCCTCCTCCTCCTTGCCCACATCCACCTCCCCCTCCCCCTCCCCCTCCCCCTCCCCCTTCTCCTCCTCCTCCTCCTTCTCCTCCTCCGCCTCCTCCTCCTCCTCCGCCGCCTCCTCCTCCTCCTCCTCCAACTCCTCCCCGTCTGCCTCCCCCTCCTCCTCCTCCTTCTCCTCCTCTTCTTCCTCCTCCTCCTCCTTCGATCCTCATCCACCTCCTCCTCCTCTTGCAACGCCTATTTCCAAAGAGCCCATCCTAGTTTGCCATGCCTCCATGGATCGTCGCGTACAGGCTCATCCCTTACTTTCCATTCTCCCCTCGTACCCACGTTCCCATCCCCGCAGTCGTTCTCCTCGTCTTCGAAATCCCAATTATCCTGTTGCATCTTGTCTGCAACCCTACTTCTTCAAAGAATGTCGAACAATGTTATTCGTACTTGGCCATGCCTACCTCGCTTGCTACTTGAAGAATCTTGCGTTTTACCCCGTGGTCATCAAGTCGCTACATGGCCAAATTGCCCGCCCGCCTTCTTCCGCTGATAGTTCGTAGCACTCCGTCCTCCCTCCTTCTATCGCCCCCCGCCCCCTCACTGCTCCCTTCATCAATCATGCGTCATGGCCTCTTCTCATGCGCCAGATCCTCTGCTTGCTCCTCTTCGTGCTTCTCATCCCTCCACGTTCTTCGAACCGTCTCCTCCTCTTCCTTCTTCTCCTCATTATCCTCATCATCCTCATCATCAGCATCCTCAACAGAATCGTCAGCCTCTGCATGATGATGACCATCATCATCCTCATCATCAGCAGCATCATCAGCATCAGCATCAGCCTCAGCATCAGCATCAGCATCAGAATATGTATCATCATGAGCATCAGCATCAGCATCAGCATCAGCATCAGCATCAGCATCATCATCATCATCATCATCATCATCATCATCATCAGCATCGCCATCATTATTTTCAGCAGCCGCAGCACCACCATCCTTGTCATCATCCTCCTCCACATGCTCCTCATCCTCATCAGCCTCCTCTCCCTCATCATCATCATCATCATCATCATCATCATCATCATCATCATCATCATCATCATCATCATCATCATCATCATCATCATCATCATCATCATCATCATCATCATCATCATCATCATCATCATCATCATCATCATCATCATCATCATCATCATCATCATCATCATCATCATCATCATCATCATCATCATCATCCTCATCATCATCCTCCTCCTCATCCTCATCATCCTCAGCATCATCATCATCATCATCATCATCACATCATCATCATCATCATCATCATCATCATCATCATCATCGCCATCATCATCATCATCATCATCATCATCAGCAGCAGCAGCATCATCATCATCATCATCATCATCATCATCATCATCATCATCATCATCATCAGCATCATCATCATCAGCAGCAGCAGCATCATCAGCATCATCATCATCAGCATCATCAGCATCATCATCATCATCATCATCAGCAGCATCATCATCATCATTGTCATCAGCATCGTCATCATCAGCATCATGTTCATCTTCAGCATCATCATCATACTCATCATCATCAGCAGCAGCAACAGCATCATCATCAACACCATCATCAGCATCAACATCAGCATCATCATCATCATCATCATCATCATCATCATCATCATCATACTCATCATCATACTCATCATCAGCAGTATCATCATCAGCAGCATCATCAACACCATCATCATCATCAGCATCATCATCGTCATCATCATTATCATCAGCATCATCAGCATCAGCATCATTATCAGGATCATAATCATGATCATCATCGTCATCAGCATCGTCATCATCAGCATCATTTTCATCTTCATCTTCATCATCAGCATCATCATCATCAGCATCATCATCATCATTATCCTTTCCATCCTCCTCATCCTCATCATCATCACCGTCCTGATCCTCATCATCATCAACCCTTGTTCCGTCTGTCATTCCATTCTCAAGCACTCCTACTTCCCCCTGCCTTCGGCCTTCCTTACTCGTCACTCGTTCAATCCCCCCGCTCTCCTCCCGAAATCCTGCTGTTTTCGGTGGCTCGTACCTGCCGCCCCCGTCGCGCAGCCACCCTGTGGCGTCCAGGACGATATTTGTCACCTCTCGCCCAGTGGTGAGGTGAGTGGGCAGAGAGCGAGGGGTGCAAAGAGGTGGGAGGGGTACAAGAGACGAATAGAAGAAGAAACATCGGCATAAAGCATGAGCTGTCGGAGATCCTCGCGGAATTCTTGGATCGGTGCTGGACCCCGCTAGACCCCATCCCTGGCGAGCGGAACGCGCCAGGAACGGTGCTGGAGGCGCCGCCAAGGAGGTCCAGCGGGGACCAAAGAAATCCGCGAGGACCTCCAAAAGTTTGTACACATACATGGTCCCTCCTTGATGGGAGGAAGTGAGAAGGCGGAAGAGGAGGAACGAGAAGACGAGGCGGTCGGGGGATTGAGGCAGAGACCAGAGCGCGGACAGACACGAGCCCTGCAGACACAGAGGCGGAGGCAAGGCTGAGCAGGAGATCGCGCACGATGTGCGTTTGGTAGAAGCGACCTGCTGGTGAACTGCAACGACCTGCCCTCTGGCAAACCCGAAACCTAATGGCAATCATCCTGGCCAGTCCCTCCGGCCAAATTTCTTCCCCGAACTCCGGCGTCCTCTGTTTCCCAACCCTGTGGTTGGGTACTCGTTGTGAATAGAGCGCTGTGGTCGCGTGCTTCTTCTTCTCCCCGCCTCCCGTCTCCCGCTTCCGTCTTGTCTCCTCTTGTCCAGTGCATACCTCATGTGTGTGAGTGTGTGCGCCGTCCCTGGGGGGGCTGCGATCTGCGACACTGTCGCCACTTTCAGAGGCTGCTGGTAGGTCCCGCGGACTGAGGCACCGCGGAAACCTGAGCGAGACCTCGCCGTCCCTGGGGGGCTGCGATCTGCGACACTGTCGCCACTTTCAAAGGCTGCTGGTAGGTCCCGCGGACTGAGGCACCGCGGGGATCTGAACGAGACCTCGCCGTCCCTGGGGGGCTGCGATCTGCGACACCGTCGCCACTTTCAAAGGCTGCTGGTGGGTCCTGCGGAATGAGGCACCGCGGAAACCTGAGCGAGACCTCGTCGTCCCTGGGGGGCTGCGATCTGCGACGCTGTCGCCACTTTCAAAGGCTGCTGGTAGGTCCCGCGGACTGAGGCACCGCGGGGATCTGAACGAGACCTCGCCGTCCCTGGGGGGCTGCGATCTGCGACACTGTCGCCACTTTCGAAGGCTGCTGGTGGGTCCTGCGGACTGAGGCACCGCGGGGACCTGAGCGAGACCTCGCCGTCCCTGGGGGGCTGCGATCTGCGATGCTGTCGCCACTTTCGAGGGCTGCCGGTGGGTCCTGCGGAATGAGGCACCGCGGAAACCTGAGCGAGACCTCGTCGTCCTGGGGGGCTGCGATCTGCGAGCCTGTCGCCACTTTCGAAGGCTGCTGGTGGGTCCTGCGGACTGAGGCACCGCGGAGATCTGAGCGAGACCTCGCCGTCCCTGGGGGGCTGCGATCTGCGACGTTGTCGCCCCTTTCGAAGGCTGCTGGTGGGCCCTACGGACTGAAGCACCGCGGGGATCTGAACGAGACCTCGCCGTCCATGGGGGGGCTGCGATCTGCGACACTGTCGCCACTTTCGAGGGTTGCTAGTGGGTCCTGCGGACTGAGACACCGCGGAAACCTGAGCGAGACCTCGCCGTCCCTGGGGGGTGCGATCTGCGACATTGTCGCCACTATCGAGGGTTGCTGGTGGGTCCCGCGGACTGAAAAAGCTTCCGTTGTGATTTTTTCACGAAGCGAAAATGTCAGATCTGGGATGGGGCATATTCCAGGGGAGTGATCATATCCCGTTGTACATGCAATGGTGAACTGCCATATCCACAGGCAGGCCAGACAAACAGGACGCCGGCGCCTTGATCCAGGCGCCAGCGTGATGCTCGCCATGTGCATATCCCAGCCCGCCGTGTCATTTTAGAGCCGAGGGGTGAGGAATCGAGCTAGCGAACATCCAACGGGATCTCACTGCGGAAAGAAGGCACGTAGCGCGATGCCACGGGGCTCGTGTCAAGACGAACCGCACCCAGCCGGCCAACGCCAGGCTGGGTCAGCAAAGAGGCGACAGAACCCGACCTGTCATAGTGCCAGCGACGGGTCTGCAAAGTAAAATGTTGCAGACGGGGCACTACCAGCATCTGACCTGGCCAAGCCAGCGACAGGTCTGCGAGGCCCCATCAGGGCAGACAGACCCAAGGAAGCAAGCAGCACAAGTATACAATCACAGGCGGAGTAAAAGACAGGCTTGCCTTTACCGCGCTTTTCCACACAACGCAGAAATGCTCCGCGGCCCGTCATGAGCCGGGGCCAACCTTCGAGCCCGGAGCCCTGTAAGGAGCGTAAGTACTCAACTCGCGTTGAAAGGATCGCGTACCCGCAATTACCTGAATTCAGAAGAACCGTCAATGAGACCTTTGGCATGACCGTCAGCAATGATACCCCGTGCGCCGCACCGCTTGCACGATGCGCATGGGACACCCATGATATGTCTAATCCAGCTGGGTCGACCCAGAAGATCTTTGCGCAATCGCGATTTGAACGCAGATTCGGCATCAGTGACAAGAGTGACCTTAATGCATGGACCACCCATTCAAGTATGTGTTTGAATTGCGTTGGTTCAGCGGTCCCGCATTTCGTGTTGGGTACCTGCTGTCGGGTAGCAGCCCTCTAAGATACTGGTTGCTGCTAGCGTATCCACCGGATAGCTTGACCTCCCTTGCAGTCGATGCGCCTCGCAGTGGGCATCCATCAAGCGCGCAGCAGGCTTGCCATTACGCGTGTCCACGCTGAAGTAGGTTGGCACATCGAATGCCATGGTTTTCATAGCATCCTCAGCGTCTCCGTCGGTCGCCCGAGTCGCAGTGTAGGTCGACTTCTCCGGTGGGTTTCATAGCGGGGCAGGTTGTCTTCCCAGGTTGAATGCGAAACTTACGCGCAAGTGAATTTAGCCGCCGCATGTGGATATTCAGCGTTACGTCGCCGTTTCTGGTCTTCATGTCTGTGACGGCGCAGTTGGTGCAGGTATGTAGAATAAACTGGCATGCGGTGAATGCGTTCTCGACGCATGTCACGTGGCGGTCGATAGTGTCCTCGGGTCCAGTAATATTGATATCGTCTACTTGTCTGGCCGCCAGAAGCGTCTCCGCCGCTTTGGACTCCTCGTCGCGGGGCGTGTCTCGGAGGCAAAAGCTACGCGCGATGTCGCGTAGCTTCAGGGACAAGGCGCGCGGGGCGCCCCCTGGCGCCTGGCTCGCAGCTCTGCAAGCAACGATTGCTTCCGCTATAGTTCTCCAAACAAAAAAAGGAAGAGTTCCCAGTGCAAGCGCTGACCCCGGTGGAAGCGCGAAGCAGACCGTGCGCCCCAGCTCTCCAGTGGCTTCAGCCAGCTCGCGAGAGGCGAGCCCCCTCAGGAAAGGTTTCTATAGCCGTAGACGCGATGACCAAGTCGGACTTACATGCGCCCTCGCTGGCCAGCAAGCGCTGGCTTGACCTCGTAGCCGTTCCTGAAGAAGGCTTCTACATCGAAGGCCTCTTCGCCCATGCATCCTCGCAGGACAAGTCTAAGGCAATATTGTCTCGACCAGTCCCCCCATGCCGCTTGCATATATACATATACAACGAAATCCCAAGTGCACGCGCAACGCGACGTCATGACGTTCGCGGCGGCAGCGAGGGAGGCCATATTAAAGCGCCCTCTGTCGCGCCAAAGATTTAGCTCAGTGTGCTATACCAACCTGGACTGGGTGGGTCTGAACTTCTGCCTTGGCGAGCAGGTCGTCTTCCCATCCTGCCACCGCTTGATTCGTGGCTGCAAAGACAGATGCCCGCATTGTGGGGGTTCCATCAAAAAGTAATATGCCATACTGTCGTTATGTGGATACCTCTTTGGCCATGTCTGCTATGCAGAAAAATTCTATGCACCGGCCACGGCAGTCACTGTCAAGGGTGAAATCCTCGTTCTCACGCGGGATGACGGAAACGCGATGCGCATCTGCATTGCGGTAGCGCGCGTCTCCGCGACATCGGGCGCCTGGGTCGTCATTCGCAACGGCAATCAAAACCGAGTCGCGACAGTTCCAGCGGCGCGGTCTCAAGACGCTCGTGCCCGCCATGGAGCTCAGCATACCAAGCCTCGACATCGGCCTCCGATGCTTGTTGGGTCGCAGAGATGCGTCCTGCGTGCGTTTCTGCAGGTCGAGCGTCGCCAGATAGGGCCGTCCACGTTGTCTTCGGATTCCAAGAGGTCCTCATCGAAGCAGGACATGGACCTGGATGGCCTCAAGCACTTCATCACTCGTTCGCGTGCGGACCCAGTGATTGCGTGGATGTCGAAGGCTGCGCCGTCCGACTCGCAGTAGTGATACAAACCTTGGTGCGATAGCGCTGTCGCAGTGATGAATCCGCGCGCAGCTGCGAGCGCACGCGATAACTGGTAGTCGATGGATACTCCTAGCGAGCCAGACTGCGACCACATCCTCGATCCGAAAACAATTACGGATCAGCTACTGGAGCGCCAAATTCACCATAGGTGACGGTTTGCTAGCAGCGGCCATCCGCAAGTCGCCCTGCATAGTTGGCCAGTTTCCAAAGGTCGTTGCAAGACCCCCTGCAGGCAGACTTAAGATGAACGCGAGTATTGTGTGAAGTGCAGAGCATCTGGCCTGAAGGCTTTGTCTTGGCGCGCGGTGCCCTGTCAACGCTATATTGTGTGATGGCCCCAAGGATGATCTCGCGCACCCGCTGCTCCCCGGACTGATCAGACGATTCCGTCTGCTGTTCGTGGCCCAGCGTCGGCAGGTCAGGGAGACATGATGGCCGACGTCCACGCAGCGCCCGGCGCGGAGATACTCCGTTGTTGACCGTAAAGGCGTCGATTACGAAGGTGGCTTCACGCGCGAGACGGGCGAAGTTGAGTGGCATTCTGCGCCCATTTCAAGTCCCCCCCATCGCGCGCGCGGTTTGCCCGAGGACCCCATTTCTGGATTGAATCGTCGCAGCGCCTCGCGCCCGTGCTCGGACCCTGAGCTCGGCGCCCTTCAGTTT